GAAACCGTCCAGGTTCCGGGAGCCGTGACACTTTTGAGCATAAAAGTAAATCTCCATAAATCTCCAACAAAGTGGAGTATCAAGAGCGTCGAAAATACCCATGAAAAACTCTTGAACATGATCAACGGGGAACCTATGGAAATTAGCTCACTCCTTGTGCTCCTATAAGAACAGTACGACATCTGCGATTGAGGGTAAATTAGAAAAGAGGCTGAGGGCTTCGGTGAAGGAGGTATCGGGCGAGAGTTGTAAAACGCATGCTGGTGTCCCTTTTGTGCACCAAGATGGTTCTAACCTGAAGCCCATTTTATGCTCTGCGCTCACGACTACACGTTTTCCACTATAGATCGCATAGCCTGAACAGAATGTGGTCATGGAGTTACCCAGCTGCTTCATGATAGTCAGTGGATGTCGTGGCACATAGTCACTAGCTGAGTTTGCGTAAAATGTGCAAAGCAAGCTCAGAAGTTATTTGATTGGATTGTGATTGACATGTGTGATTGAGTTTTCCCTTTTTGACACGGTCCCCTTTTCTGTGGGAGAGTTTGTTCTTAGAGCAGGCTCTCCTTATACGCTCTCAGAAAGAACAGATCGTGTGTTACATGTATCATACTCATATAACTTTGTTATCATAGAGTTTTTGCTGTTGTTTATCGAATGAACCGATGATCGGAACGAAACGCCTCTCCACGTTGATTAGGCCACTAGACAGGCTTCCCAACGCCTATGTAGGCATTGCAATTATAAGCACGAACGATTTAAGTGCTCAGGATTCCACCACATATTACTTTCCAAAGCAGTTCAGTTTTGAGTGTATATTATTGGGATAATAGCCTCTCCGAGTTGCCCGGTCTCTTGGGCGTATACCACATTTACCGCTCATCTGTACAGTTCAGATGATGGCTGAATAATTCTGAGTGCGTTGAATGTCAACAATATTGACTCTAGAAAGTAGATCGGCAGATTCTAGCATGATTTCTTCTTCTCAGCCGTTGCCTTCTCCGTCACTGAATTTCGAGACTGAGATCTGATTTTGTGGCTACAATGACCTGGCCAAAAAAAGTGAATCATCATATTATTATCATTATCAGAACATCTATGGATCTATTAAATGATCCGCGAAAGTGACAATTTGTAACTAGAACTCACGAGTCACGCAAAATATACAACTATACATTTCAACAACCCATAATCCTTTTAGGACGTAACGAAGGTGAGATAAATGTATAAGCAAGCTGTCAGATTGACGGGGAAATGATCATGTGAGCGACACAATCTGGCAGCACTCCTATTTATCCATTGACGCTTGCCTTTGCCAATAACAAGCAAGAGGAAGATTCCCGGATAAATGGAATGTTGACGCAAACCGGCATAGTTTCGCCCGGACATTTGAAGCGATACCTGCTTCTTGATCTGCAATTAATCACTGCGAAGCAAGGCTAATTGCAGATAACCATGTAATAGTGTGGAAACCTGAGAGACACAAGCTTACGAGTAAATGTGAGATTGTTAACCTGTCCACAAAGTAAATGAATTGAATTTCTAGAAAGGTTCTAAGTGGGGAAGGCACTTATAAAATCAGTGAGCCTAGGAGCTAGAGCAGGATCGAGTAATACTTCTTCTGCCCGAATTCGTTCATCAGGGTCAACTGCCCAACATCGTTGCATAAGCTCGTACATGGCCATCGGGCAACACTTCGGTCGGGGCGGACGTATTCCTGCAATGCAGATTCTTTAATGATTTGTTCAATGTATTTTACATTGTTGATTGTTATGATTAGTGCATGACGCTAGAACGTAGTAGGAATGACATGGGCTACCTCTCAGCCTACGGAGAAGTGACGCAAACAGAGAAACACAGCTACACAGCTGTACAATTCACAGATGAACGATTTCAGAAACGAACGGATTCATGCATAGAGTAGAGCAAACTTATGGTCTTATGGTGCCTGAATATTTCAACGGCATTTCGACATTGGAATTCTAGGAACAATTTCGTCTATTTTTTTAACAATTTTTTAACAACATGTATTTTTTGTGTACATGATAAGATTGTCTTAAGTGTTCACACTGATTCCCAACAGTTTGCTTATTTCACATGTCGGACACTCATCTCTTCCGACGGACGGAACATACACTGCAATTCATAGTGTAGGGTCACCCTCAAATTTATTTTATTTATTTATTTATTNTTTATTTATTTATTTATTCATGGACGCAGCATGACTGCGTGGTAAAACACAACCAACAACGAAACCAGATCATACAATCGTCACGATAAAGAGCGCATCAATTGAGTGTGCTATACTATACTACTAAAACAATGAGGAAACATTTGATCAATTATAGACATAGTCATGACAAAGTCATGGCAATCATGGCAATCAATCGTACCTCACCGGATTTCAGGGAATTTCTGCTTTGACTAAATTTATGGCTTTACGGCGGAACACCCCGAGAGTCAAGCGCATGATATTCTCATCGTAGATTTTATTCAACAAAGGTAGCACTCTAATGGCAAAAGATTTTGCTCTGACTTGTGTTCTAACTATAGGAGACCTTATTTTGACCGTGCTCCCTCTAGTCCTCGATTTTGCCAGAGTGAAAAAATCAGCAGAGTCAACCACAACCCTCCCTGTCAGAATTTTGAAAGCCATAACGAGATCGTTAACATGCCTTCTATGCGTCAAAGAAGGTAACGCATAACGATTGCGCCCTTCAGCCCCACTAGGCAGAGACTTAAAACTTAGGGCGGAACAAAGAAGGATAAGCTTACGAGTAAAACTGTTTTGTACACTTTCCAAAAGCTGCACGTCTTTTTTCTTGAATGGAAAGAACACGGAGGTACCAGATTCTACTATTGGTCTCACGTAAGCCTTGTACGCTTTTAGTAAGATTGCAGGGTTCTTTGATTGTGAAGTCTTGAAAAGGTTGTAAATTCTATTGTTTGCTCTAGAAACCAAAGCCTTATAGTGCGAGTCAAAGGCAAGCTTATTCGACATGACAAATCCAAGATCCCTGACTTCGCTCACTGGTTCCAGTACTACAGAACCTATTTTGTAGCGTTAGTTAAGGCTATTATTTCCGATGGTGAACACTTTGGTCTTATCAGGGGCAAGAGGTAGCTCCCATAGTTCAGACCAAGAGACAACATGGTCGATGGCCGCTTGCAGCATATCACAATCGGAGAGGTTCTCAATAAGTTTTTAAAGCTCGATATCATCAGGGTACATGGCACACGATACTTGATATCTAGCCACACAAGAGGGAAGGTCAGCAGTGTACGCAAGGAAAAGAGTCGGAGACAGCACCCCACCCTGGGGAACGCCACTGGGAATCTTATGTATAGACGAGAGCTTGCTCCCGACCCGTACCTGATACGTGCGTCCGGAGAGGAAGTATTCAATCCAGCGAACAATCAGTGGATAAACCCCAAGTGATTCCAGCTTGTGAATCAACTTTTTATGCGGTACCCTATCAAAAGCCTTGGCGAAGTCGAAATAAATTACGTGAACTCGCTTTCTGGCGTCAAGGGCTCTGGACCAATCATTAAGAGCATAAAGAAGGGCAGTTTCTGTTGATTTACCCCCTCTAAAGCCATGTTGGCAAGAATAAATGATGTTGTGCTGTTCAAGATACTTGGTAAGCCTGACTTTACTGTTTTTTCGAATAGCCTTGCGAAAATCGAAGTGATACTTATTGGCCGATAGTTCGCGGAATTACTCAAGGGAGGCTTTTTAGGGATGGGGATTATGAAAGAGTGCTTCCATCGAGATGGAACTTCCGAACGCATATAGGAGAGGTTAAAGAGAATTTCCAAGGGAAAGGCAATGTAGAAAGCAATCCTTTTGATAAATTTCAAGGGAAGAAAACCTGGCGTGACCGAGTGGGAGTCCGGCCACTGGGTTAATAACTCATAGACCTCTTCCTTATAAAACCACAGGGAGGACTCCATTGTAGTGCCACAGGAGGAAGAGTCAGAGTCAAATTTTGCACTTTCAGAAGATGCAATCGTTTAGGATCTTTTCTAGCATCATGAACGAACCCCCTCCCCCCTCCCCCAGCACGGATTTGTTTATTTACATATCTATTTACTTATTATTTATTTATTCATGCGATCCATGACGCGTGGTACTGAGACATTCGACGATCATACAAACTCGTAGAAAAAACCTAGGTCATCGTTTTTAAGCAACAGCTGCATTTTTCTGAACTTTTTTAGAACAGTTTATCGGTTTTCGCACCGTTTCATAATTACAAGGTCACCCTGAGAAAGTGAACAATTACTCATAGAGAAGAAGAAATTTGGTCTTTCAAGATTCTTATAAAGGTAATCATGTGTAGCAAATGCATCTCTAAACCTGACTGTCAACATGGTTCGCGGTCGTCTGCTTTCCTCTGATGAAAAGGCTCAAATTCGGGCTTTTCATGAAGCTGGGCTCAGTAAGCGAGCCATCTAGGCGAATAGATAGATCTCTTTGTTCTTTCCGAAGGTTTCTAGAGAGCAATGATTATTATTGTTATTATTATTATTATTATTATTATTATTATTATTATTATTATTATTATTATTATTATTATCATTATTATTATTATTATTATTGTTTGAAAACTTCCACGTGTGCTTCTCATCTACTACGTCCGTGTAATTCGAAACCACAACCACTGACGTTTTGGTCGGATTACAAAGCGGTTAGTAATGGGATATGGTCTTACCTTAGGAGTCAACCCACACCCTCTTGGTCTCACCCAAGGAGTCTTCACCAAGGCATCACCCACCAATCTGCAGAGGCACCCGGATCTCTTTGTTCTTTCCGAGGGTTTCTAGAGAGCTATGATGACCTTAGATGTAAAACCAGCTGTGTACGCCCACGCAAGCTTACTGCCCGTGACGAGCGGAAGACTCTGAGGGTTGTTTCCAGCAGTACATCCTTCTTGAACCAGATCCGATCGGCATTGAACCTCTTTGTGTCGAAAACTAGTCTGGAAAGCAGTAAGAAGATGCGAGGATATCACCAGGCAAGCTATGAAGAAGGCGCCACGAATTACCGATCGCCACAGAGAGGCTCGACTCGAATTCGCAAAGACGAACCTAGGAAGAGATTGGGCAAAGGTAGGTCTGCATCAAAATCTCATCATACAGCTGAACAATTTCCATTCAGGTCGTCTTATGGTTAAAAAGAAATTCAACTTGGACGGTCCTGATGGATACAAGTACTACTGGCGCGACTTGAGGAAGGAACCAGTCAAATTCAGCCGTCGCAATTTGGGTATGGTTACATTCGTGCGATTCGGACCGCGCGAGGCATATTACACTTCAAAATTCATGGCGGTTTAAACGACACTGGCGGCGATTATTGGGGCACAAAAATGAAATAGAATAGTTGGGTATGTTCAGGTGATCCTACTAATCTACTCTAATGCAAGTTTGTGCCCCAGTAACGTGCGTCAGGGTCGTTCGACTCATCACGAATTCCGTCGCGCAATTTGCCGCGCGCAGTCCGAACCGCACAAATGTTCCGTCCCCTCGCAATTTCGGAGGAGGAAGTTTATGGTGTTGGGTGCATTCTGCAATTATGTCGTGTTTGTCGTGTTTGATCAAGCCTTCGTGAGCTGCAGAATGGACTCCAAGGACCACCAGAACGTCTTATAGCATCATCTAGTACCATTTCCAAGCGGTCGCCGTCACCTCAACTATGTCTTTCAACAGACAACGCCTCCATCTAAGTGAGCCGTGCAACGAGTGAGAGGCTGCAATGCCAAAACATAAGCGTCCTGCCATGGTCAGCCTGCAGTCCTGATGGAAAATATCTGGGGCATAATAGTCAGACAGACTATGGGAATAACCGTCAATTCCAGAGCACAGAAAAGCTGAAGTGGGCGGTTATCGAAGCGTGGAGAGCAATCGATAAGGAACATCTTCGAAATCTACAGTACTACTACTAATTCATGGCCAATCGACGGTTTGCGACGAATTAATCCGTCGTAAACCGTCGCCTCCCCATAACTTCAGCTGAATTGCTCCAACCAAAATGGAAGTAAGTTCATTGGAAAGCTTTTCTCGTGAAGAACCTAAATATACAATAATTTTTGGGTTTTCTCAAATTTTTTGCCTTCCTTGCCAGGAAAAACGAAATATTACTACGATATAAAAATAAACTGATTTCATGTGCCCATATTCCCAATGTCTTTATAAAACTCAGAATGAAGTTTTCTATTAAAGTGGGGAGTTTAAGTTTATGTTATATCTGACGGAAGCACCTCAGGTGCTGAACATTCACTCTTCGATCTCCATGAAAATGATGCTGTAATATTGAAGCAATTGAAAATTCAAGACATGACAGGATTCCCCACAAGCAATCATACGGTGGTCATACGAAATACGTGGTTGAAGGAATTAAGCTTTGCACCGCTGCTTTCAGCTGAAAATGTTTAAATTATGTCATGAANTTAACACCCCAGGTGCTGAGAGACTCAACTTTCGTTTTTCCCGGTAAGGAAGGCGGAAAACTTGAGAAAACTCGAAGATTATTATATATGCGAGTCCTTCACGAGGAAAGCTTTCCAATAATCTTACTTCCAGCTTGATTGGAGCACTATAGCTGAAGTTATGGGGAAGCGACGGTCTGCGACGGATTAATCCGTCGCAAACCGTCGGTTGACCATGAATTAGTAGCAGTATTGTAGTTTCTAGTATACCATAGTATAACTCTCAAACGAGGAGGAGCTATAGATTATTTACTGATGTACATATGCCGTCTGCATCAATAAACATTCACTTTCTCAGAGTGACCTCATAAGTATGAAACGGTGTAAAAGCCGACCCTATCTTTTGAAAATCCATAAAAGAGTTAAGGTGAAGGGTGTTGCGATCAAAATTCGAACCTCGGACACACATACAGTACATTGTGATGAGGAATCTGCCAATGTTCGCCGAATAATCTCATTCTGGCTGCTTTCTCCAGAATCGCGAATCGAGGTGACCTCATAACTATGAAACGTAGTGTATGTGCGCCCAAGGATACGCGCTGTGAACTGCGCGGCGAACTTCGTTTCGATTTGAACGACTTTAGCGCCTATCGTTGGGGCCCAAGTTTGAAGTAAAGTGCATTAATGGGAACAGCTGATCTGGCTAATCTAGCGATGACTTCACCGCGATAACAATGCTTAAAGGGGCTCTGTTACTTTTTGTATTCGACTGATTGCCGAGGTATCTGCACGCGTCTCGTTAGTAGTCTCTCGCATTGGAGGTTGACAACTAATCTGAACCTATTCATCACTGGATGATATTAGTGCGCCTGCCGTATTGCAGGGTTGAGCACTTCCCATCCTTCCAGCCTCTTTCTCGACGCGGTGATCGACATGTTGAGCTTCTATCCGCTGCTGCTCTCATTGTATGTATGTATGTGTGTGTATTTATGTATGTATGTATGTATGTATGTATGTATGTATGTATGTATGTATGTATGTATGTATGAAAAGCACCCTCAGAAGTCGGGGCAATTTTGGGATGGGTGGAGCTTAAGATAAGATCAGCAGAGTTCATATGAGCTCTGCGGAGCTCCGCCCACAGGAAGCGGGGCAAGTGCTGGAATGGGCGGTGCGAATAGCCTTATTCTAGCTTCAAAGAGGTCTAGACGTAGCGAAAAAATAGACAAAGGTGAGGATAGGGTCAACAAACCAGACGTAGGAGACCCACGTGCTGCGGAACTTTTTCAAAATGGGTGGTGTTTTTCAGGAGTAATCATAACACGATTCAATTAAGGCGCAGAGGCCAGAAAAAAATAAAAAGAGCGAGCAGGGCCTTATGCGTGTTGAGCATGTGTAGGCTGAGCGAAGCCCCGCCCACGATGGGAGGGCGTGCGTTGAGACAAAAGCCACTTTTCATAAATGAATGCAACTTTGCTTGAAAACGTTCTAGAATGCGGGAAAAAAGTGTTCAGAGGTAATGGAACAAATGTGGCTAAATCCTTAAAGTGGGCGGGGTTGGCACTAAAGTGGGAGGAGCTTAGGTCAAAAATTTACAACTCTGTTTAGAAACATTCTGAGATGCTGATAAAAGTGGTAAGATGTAGTAGAACAAACCTGGTCAGATCCCACAAGTGTGCGGGATTGGCACTGAAGTGGGCGGGCTTACATCAAAATTATTAAGTCTCTTCAGATGCGTTTGAGAACGGGGAAAAATGTGTCTGGAGGTAGTAGAAGTAATGTGGTCGAAATTCTGAAGCGGGTGGGGTTTGCAAAGAGGGGGCGGGACTGAGATCAAGTATTTATACATCTGTCCTTCATACTAACCCTGACCACATTGGTGTACAACTAGGGGATACCACAGGACTCTTTAGAAAAATAGGCTGGGAATTTTTCAAAAGTTAGTATCCATGGTTCCACACACAGTAGTCCCTTCCACCCCAGAACAAATGCACTACCTTGACCTCAGACCCACAAAATAAATTCTGCAATAACCTCGGCCACACAGGTGCACACCCTGAAAAGAGGTGTACTTCCCTGCAATTGTCCAAAGGGGCTGTCCTTCGAAAGTTAGTGTTCATGGCCACGCACAGTCCAAACTACAAAGAGTTCCTATGACTACATGGTCTGCTGAGGTATTTGATTTGGTTACATCGGGGTACTCTTCATGGCCACAAACAGCCCCATTTCACATCCCAAAAAAATGATGGCCGCTACAGAAGGGTCAGGGAAGAGGTCATATGATAAAGGTTTATAATGAAAATCAGAAGCTCATTTGGCTCCGTCCTTTATGGCTAGAGCCTCAGCGCACGCGGTAGCGTGCGTTGCCGCCTGGTATATACATATATACAGTAGCGCTCGGAAGTATTCGGCCAAATTTAACTTGCCGTAATCTTTTTCCCAGTCGAGCAAATCGCAAGAAATTATGAGATGTTTAATTGAAGCCTATTTCACACTATTCAACACTATTTGACTGCAAAGCAGCAGTGTCCACATAACTAAAGAGAAGGCGTTTGTAGACTATGCTGAGGGCAAGTTTGTGACGTCTGCAGTTATATGCACCTTATTTGCGTTTTTCTCCTCTTCTGTGTTCCGCACTAGCGCTTTGGAAATGGCAAATAACAAAGGAAACTTAGAAGCACCAATGAGTTCAAGCCTTCTGGGATATTTGGAACATGATCAAAATGCAGGTCGACAGTGATGAATATTCACACTACACCAATGNTACACATATTGAAATTTCGCTTGATCAGATTCAGTAGGAAAGGGGTTGTGACTGAAGGTACGTGTGAAGAAGCATTTGGCCAAAAACTTTCGAGCACTACTGTATATATATATGTAAAATATATATCCAGGGTGCCGGTTTATAGCAATATATTTGTAACTTCTCATCTACGAAAGACAATGAAATTACTATATACACTAGCTAACACTATGTGCTAGAATATGCTACAGTCGCATTTCGAAATACCCCCCGTGAGCAGGGATAGAAGACAAAGTTTGCTCTAGACTTGATCGCATGTGGCACGCCGGTATCCTTCTCCAACCCTTCCCAGCCGTTCTTCAGCCTTTGCGTTCTAGGACTCCAAACTGGGATTGCAAACTCGACAGGTCCTCCTCTAATCAGGGACCATACGTGGGGGTCAAGTGAGTCAAGTTCTCAAAAATAGGATGACCATTGCTCTTCACCAATGGAATCGGGCAGCTGTCGTCCGCACCACTCGCGGGCAAGCGCGGCAATGTGGGCTGGAATAGCACTGCCGGTACTGGTGTTGGTCAATTTCCATGCCTGCACCAAAGAAACCATGAGTGGCCTGCCCTTGCCAAAGATTTCGTCGAAAAACAATGTTTCACTGTTCTTATAGCAACCTTTTTGTGAGATATTACACGCTAGATTTTTCTTTCCGGAACGCGAAGTTTTTGGTTGTAGGGGGATGACTTTATCGTGAAAGAAAATTACGCCAGAGAAAATGACAAAGGGTTGCGTGTCATCACTCGAGTGGGTTTGCGACTTTCTGCATTTTTTGGCCCTGCAGTGTCTGTCAAGATCGGAATTGAAGTGAAACTCCTGCATACGACAGGAATGGCAACAAAGCCCCTGCATGACATTCTTACATCGCGACAACTCCGATAAGCCGTACCCGCTGTCTTCCTTTTGACGGTTCACCCAGGATCCCGACCGATTAGCAGACGGACCATTTTATTAGTCCTATCTTCAGAAGCATTCTACCTTTTTACCTTTCCTGATTTGTCTCTCATTCAATCTTCTTTTGTATATCGTTTAATAGGCTCCTATACGGCTATCATAAAAATCCCAAGAAAATT